AAGATTTACTTATTTATTTGAAAGAGCAACAGAGAGAGAAGCAGCAAAAAAGAGAAACTTCCGGGACTGGCATGGAGCACTAGGGGCTAAAGTCCTCGCCTTGAACGCGCCAGGATCCCATAGGGCGCTGGCGTTCTGGCATCCCTGCATCCCATCCAGCTTCCTGCATCTGGCCTGGGAAGGCAGTAGAGGACCGTCCAAAGCCTTGGGACCTGCACCCGTGTGGGAGACCCAGAGGAGGCGCGTTGATTTGTGCTGTCTTATTTCTGGTCATTGTGTCCGCTTGGGGAATGAATCATCGCACAGTTCTTCCTCTCTGTCTCTCCTCTTCTCTGTATATCTGACTTTCCAATAAAAATTTAAAAGAGAGAAACTTGCATTTGATGCTTCCCCCATCAATTAGCACAAGTGTCGGAGCAGAGCATGCTAGAGCAAAGAGCCAGGGACTGAAGCCAGGTTGCCGGTGCAGGGTGAGGAACCCAGGTGCCATGCCACTCACCAAAGCTTGGATCCGCTGCTTTGAGCTGTGCCAGGCAGCCCTCGATGCCGCCAAGAGTCTTGTCATTGCTCCATGTGACATACTGAAATATCAGGGATGGGACAGAGTCATCCCGGGTCACAACAGGGAGGACACGCAACCAGATCCTCAAGTTCAGCTTTCAAGGACTCTGAGCATTCACTGCACTCTGGCTCATTCATGCAAAGACACGCTGTGCGGGCAGCTCAAGGCGCACCTTCCAGGGCTGGGGCACCACTGTTCCCGAGGAGGGGGGTCTTGTGCACAGGCAGCCTACCTGCCCCTTGGTGCCCTAGGACAGACACTGGAATGCCTTCCAGCCAAAGGACACTCTGCCTGCCAGCCAGCTCCGGCGACCCTTCCTCACTCCCGCCTTCTGCCCTGGGGACAGCACCCACATTCTCTCCCTCACTCCCACCTTCTCCCTGGGGACAGCACCCACATTCTCTCCCTCATTCCCGCCTTCTCCCCGTGGACAGCACCCACATTCCCTCATCCCTGCCTTCTGTCCTGGGGACAGCACCCACGTCCCCTCCCTCTCCTGCCCTCTGCAGCCAGCACCCTCGTTGCCTCCCACAAAAGCAAAACCTTGAACTAAAGGAATCTCTAAATTGCTCAGAGTCAGTGTGTTCCAGCAACAGAAAGCCAACGATGGCAAACACCAACTTGTAGGAATAACCCACTTGGTCTCCAAACGCCCCCTCTCAGGTGTCTGCCCTGCTCTACACTGAAACGGCATGCATGCTTCAACAAGTGAGACGCACATGCACGGGTAGGGAGGGGGAGCCGGCAGAGACACAGAGCACCCAGGTTCCAAGTCCACAGAGGTGGTGGGGGTAGGGAGGAGAGGAATGAGGTCAGAACAGAGGTGCTCCTGGACAGAGGGAAGTGGCAGGTGGCAGCTGGGTCCCTGGCACAGGCCAGCGAGATGCAGGGAGGAGATAGGAGGGAAAGTGCGTGACGGTAAACAGAATACACACTTGCAGAATAGACCAGGGCCTGGCAGGTGGCCCTGCACCAGCCGGGAGCTTCTAGGAACTTCTGGGCCTCATGCTCTGTGCATGAGGATCTCAGCGCCCACACCTGCCGCACTGGGCAGCCCTGATGCTGAGTCCCTCTCCTGGGATCCTGCAGTGGGACATCGTGAGGACCTGGTACAGGTGGGTGCAGCGTCTCCTGGGTGAGCCCCTCTCTCTGAAGGGCAGGGCCACGTCGGACCCTCAGCAGTGCCTCGTGGGAACCATGGAGGGTCACACCCTCCTCCAAGCGGGCCTGCTGCAGCCCGCCTGTGCTGCCCCTGGGGGCCCTGGGAAGGTGGGTGCAGGCAGAGGGGATGGGCTGCCAGGGAAGCCCCCACACCTCCAGAGTCTCCGGCCAAGTGCAATTTTAGAAGTGAAGCCCGTTCCCCAGCACCCTCCCAGAGGGCAGCGCTTCTCCAGGCGGGCCTACCTGGGCAAGGGTGGCATCGAACAGCTTGCAGGCTTCGTTGCTTGTGGTGGAGAGCGGCAGCCCCGCGTCCTTCCAGGCCTACAACAGCAAGGAGCACCCAGTGTTGGTCCTTGGAGTCCCACCCCAGCCCTAGCACATCACAGCCGTTTCCAGTGCCTCGCAGGGATGCAGGGCTGCGATTCTATCATGGCCATGGAGGATGGCTGTCTGGGGGAGTGCTGGGCAGGGCCTGGGAAGCAGAAGGCCCTGAGCCCAAGACAGCGCTGTGCGGGCCCCGGAGGACCAGGCCTGACCCTGAGAGGACTCTGTGTGTGGGGTCTGGGAGGACCGGGCCCTGAGCTGAGACCACACTCAGGTGTGACCCCAAGGCGCACCCACCATCCAAGCTTAGAGCACCAGCTCACTGTGACCACTGGGTCCAGCACCTCTCAGCCACCCTGGGGCTGTGGGCAAGTCGCCTCACCCCTCGCCCCTCCACCTGCTTCACCTGCACAGTGGGCTCAGGCTCCCTGCCCTGGGCAGACTTGAGGGAGAGCCGGCCCTGAAATAAGAACCGCCCAAAGGGCTAAGCTCTCTAGGAAGTCCTTGCCAAGCCTGCAGGCTCAGGGCTCAGCTCATGTCCCTTGCCGGAGTCCTCAGCCCCACAAGGTCCTCTGGACCCTCTTGCGTGCAGCCACAGGTGCTCCTGTGCGCCCAGGGTTGAACCCAGCGCCCTGTAGGGCAGTCAGGGGCAAGGCCAAGTCCGCGGGCAGGGGCCCGCCCACGCGTGCCCTCCGCCCGACCTCGGGTCGCCTTCAGGCTCGACTTTGCATCGCCACACCCCGGGCCGGTGAGGGGCCGGGGAGCCCCTTGTGGTGGCGGCCAACGCGTACCTGGCAGTCGCGCAGCGGGAAGGACGCAGCCATGGTGCATGGAGTCCTGCTGCCTTTTGAACAGTGGACGGGGCGGAGCGCCGAGGGGGCGTGTCCGCGTCGGATGGGCGGTGCGCCGAGGGGGCGTGTCCGCGGCGGATGGGCGGAGCGCCGAGGGGGCGTGTCCGCGTCGGATGGGCGGAGCGCTGAGGGGGCGTGTCCGCGTCGGATGGGCGGAGCGCCGAGGGGGCGTGTCCGCGGCGGATAGGCGGACCGCCGAGGGGCGGGTCCGGCCAGGTTGCACTAGGGGTACACTGGCTTGGTACTTGGACTCCCTTGGCTCCAGGCGCAGTGTTAGCGCTGCAGCCCCTGTCAGGCTGGGATCCTGCCTGCCTCTTGCAGTCCCAGGAGGAAGCAGCTGCAGTTGGATCCACGCCTCCACTCCTGACTTGGTCTGGAGCCAATTGCTGACCTAGTGTTTCTAATGGATTTTGCGCTATTTTCCTTTTTTTCTTTATTATTTCATGATACAGGTCCATAGGTTCTGGAGTTTCTCCTCTCCCTTCCCCTCTTCTCCTGTGATTTTCCCTATATAGTGATTCATAATCAGTGATAAATCCATCACTCTCCTATTGAAGTGTATCCTGACGTTGTAGGTACCACGAACAGCAGAGAGCACAGCACCCCCGGTCACAACACACCTACCCGTTTCACCTACAGCCCATCTTTGATTTGGTAGTACAGATGCATATTGTATCATATTTTTACATCTGGAAATGATAGTTTCTATTACGCACTTACTATAAATACCTTTAGATGAAAAACCAAAGAACAAAATCAACAACAGTAAGAGAAATAGAAAATTTACAACAATGTGAATTTAAATAACAAACTACTGAATGACCAATGTGTCACTGAAGAAATGGACATGAAAAAGCTCCTTGGGGCCCGGCACTAGAGCACAGCAGGTAAAGTCCTTTTCTTAAATGCGCCGGGATCGCATATGGGCGCCAGTTCTGATCCCGACAACTCCTTTTGCCATCCAGCTCCCTGCTTGTGGCCTGGGAAAGCAGTAGAGGACGGTCCAAAGCCTTGGGACCCTGCACCCGCGTGGGAGACCTGGAAGAGCCCTTGCTCCTGGCTTTCCATCCACTCAGCTCTGGCCGTTGCGGCCACTTGGGGAGTGAACCACTGGATGGAAGATCTCTCTCTCTCTCCTTCTCTTTGTGAATTATCCCTTCTAATAAAAATATTAAAAATTGTTTTTAAAAAGCTAACACTATTGAATGTTGCCTACAAAAGAGCAATTGAAGGGCATAAATAGTAGAAAGTCAAAGAATAAAAAGACATTTCATAATAGAAGAGGGGAAATTCACAAACGAGTGTCTATTTAATAGAGCCCCCCAAACACCTGGCCAAAATGGACAGCGTTTAGAACAAAGGAGACAAGCCACAACCATGACAACATTCAGAAAATACTAACGTTTTGAACATCACCAACTACTCTGACCTGCTTTCTCACATACAAGAGCACTCCAAAAGTTCAAAGAGAGGCAGGTGCTCGGCAAGTGGCTAACACACCCGCATGCTGCCCCGCAGAGACTGGGTTCGAGTCCCGTCTTTGGTGCCTGACTCCAGGGCCAACGCAGACCCGGGAGGCGCTGGTGACTGCCCAAGCGCTTGGCTTCCTGCCACCCATGGGGACCACCTGGGTCCAGTACAGAGTCCAAGACCTGGAGGTCAACCAGGGAGGTGAACCAGTGGGTGGGAGCCATGGTTCTCTAATACATAATTTAAAATAAATCACATGTGAATTTTCTGCAAACTTTTGAAATGTCCTTTTATCAGAAAGAAAGAAATAAAATGAGCTGTCAGGTTTCACCTTAAAACACCAGCAAAACAAGGGTGGAGCCCCCCAGAGACCCCGATGTCGGCACCCTCAGAGACGTCACAGGGAAAGGAGCCCTAGGACGGGAATGGTGGTAAAAGGGCCCACGGACAAAGCAGCCCCTTCAGGAATCACCAATGGGAAATGAGACCTTGTAGATGGGTAACTTGCAGATTCCCCTGAGTCATGCTCTACCCGGGGGTTTGTTATTTTGGCTTAATTGTACCATGGTGGGAGGTGGTGTGACTTTACCAACTCCTAGGAAGCAGTGTGAACTAGCTGGCACAGAGCAAGGATGCGGCTGGAGCCAACTGACCTGGTCAGTTCCGAGCACAGCTGCCTGCTCAGGCCGACACAGCAGCAGTCTCAGCAGGGAGAACAGGCCTGCCCGTCGCCCCAGCGGCACAGGCCGACTGCAGCATTCCTTCTGCCCAGTAAATAAACAACCACATGGGGGAATGTGAGCCAAGAGGCGGGTGAGCCCACACAGGAAATTTTGTTTTGTTTTTAAATTTCCCTTTGTTGGAAAGTCAGATTTACAGGGAAAAGGAGACAGAAAGATCTTCCATCTTCTGGCTCAGTGCTCAGGTAGGCAACACATTGTTAAAATTTGAACCATCTGCTGGTTCACTCCCTAAGTAGCCACAACAGTTGGAACTGAGATGATCCGAAGCCAGGAACCTGAAGCCTCTTGCGGGTCTCCCATGCAGGTGCAGGGTCCCAAGGGTTTGGACCACACTTGACTGTCTTCCCAGGCCACATTCGGGAGCTGGATGGAATTGGAGCAGCCGGGATACGAACCAGTACCCTTATGGGACCCAAGCCTGTGCAAAGCAAGGACTTCAGCCACTAGGCTACCACATCAGGCCCAAGAAACGCTTTCCTCAAAAGACTTTTCACAAACTTTCCAAGAGATACAACACGCAGGATCACTTCCTTTCTGCAGGTTCTTTCATTAGAAGGCTATCCCCACCGAATTTTCCAGAACTTTCCCTCTGCTATTTTAATCCCCGCTCCTCACAATGAAACTCTTGTGCTGGAAAAGCACCTGCCGAGTTTGTTCACCTCCTTCACAGTTGGTAGGTTAGGAAGGCGCCCCGGGGGTTCACTGTCAGCGCCAACGTGCAGAGTGGGGTTCCTGCTAAGGGCCTTCATAGCCAGAGTCCATACAAGTGCGTTAGGGACGTGGGGTGCCAGAGCCGTTGGAACCACCGACCACTGGTCCCCACCAGCCCCAGACACCCGCGCTGCCCACCCCGCGCCTGACCACCGGGCAGGCCCTCCCCAGGTCCCCAAGTACGGACTCCACGCGTCACGCTGCCCCGCGCCTGAGACCCCGGTGGACGCCAAGGAGCCCGAGACTCCCCGCGAGCCCGTGGCCGTTGCTCCCGCCCTCGGCGACTCCACTCCCACCGGCGGCGCCATGAGCCCCGCGTCTGCGCTCGTCCTCCTGCTGCTGCTGAGCCCGGGCGCGGGCGGCCTCCCGCAGCCCCCGGCTCCCCGCCGACCTGGCGCCGACGGCCCCGACGCGCTGGGCTCGCCTCGGGACGGCCTCGGCGCAGGCGACCGGCGGCTCTGGCGCCGCGGAGCCCGGGCCCGCCTCAGCCTGAGGAGGCGCGCGGCGCCCGGGGCCGGCGCCGTCCTGAGCGGCCATGGCCGCCTGCGCCCGGCGCCGCGCGGGCCCCGCCTCAGCGTGCGCGTCCTGCTGCGCGCCCCGCGCCTGTCGCGCCGCGCGGCGCCTGCGCACGTCGACGTGCACGTGCGGGCGCCCGGCGGCCGCCTGGCCCTGGCCTGGGCCGTGCCGCTGGCGCCACCGCTGAGGCGGCCGCCCGGGCTCCCGGCCTGGGCCTTCCTGCTGCGGTGGCTCGGGCCTGGGGAAGCCCGTGGCGCCCGCCGCGCAGCCCCGGCCCTGCGCTTCTGGCCCCGCTCCGTCCTGCCCGAGCCAGGCCCCTCCGCCGACTTCGTGGCCCAAACCCCGTGTCCCACAGACGGGCCCGTGCCCGTCGTCTTGGAAGCGGCCAATGCGTCGGGCCACAGAGCCCTCGAGTCTTCGGTGTCCTGTCAGGTGTTTGGCTGCCGCCTCTACGAGGTGAGGATCAACAGGGACGTGGACGGGGCGCCTGTGCGCATGACCAGGAATGACGAAGTCACCCTCAACACCACCACGGACATGAACTGCAGGAGATATCAGATGCTGTACCAGAAGTGGTATTTGTATTCCGTGCCCGCTGTGGGCGATGTGCCCGATTGGAAGCAGCGTTTGCCGTTGACTGGGCTGGGGGACAGCAGGGACCCGACCATCATGCGCATCCCCAAGGCTTCCTTAAGTTGGGGCGTGTACTTGTTCAATTTCACGGTGATAATCACCACGTGGGATCCCACCGACAGAGAGCTCAGAGACTCGGACTCCATCTACGTGTGGGTCGTCCGAAGCCCCCTGGTGGCCGTTCTTGCAGGGGATGCAAACATCACAGTCAATTACACAGATAAGCTGATTCTGAATGGGAGCATGTCCTCGGACCCCGATGAAAATAACACGTTGCAGGGGGTCCTCTTTTCCTGGTACTGTACCACGAATCCAAAAAACTACAAGGGAGATCAGATACACGAGGTGAGCAAGGAAGTGTGTCACCCATCCCAGGCTAACCTGAGGTGGCCAAAGGCCTGGGACCCTGTGCTGGCCCTCTCACCAGGAACGCTTCAGGGGGGCCAGGCCTACTTTTTCAGAATGGCGATTCGCAAAGGAAACCGAAAAGCACATTCTGATAAAACGGTACACGTGCTGCCGGGACCAAAACCTCTAGCACACATTTTATGCCTTGAAAACTGTGGAAGCCATTTAATTGTCTCAGACCGGTTTTCTCTGTATCTCAATTGCACCGACTGTGTAAGCAGTGATTTGTATAACTGGTCAATTGTGTCTGAGCGGGACGTGGAGATGCCTTTTGATTGGACAGGGCAAACGTTCACGGGGAGGAATACTGCTTATCTGTGTGTGAAAGCTTTTGCTCTCAGTCATTTTGTGGAAGCTAAGTTTTGGTTTTCTGTACGTGTCACAAGTTGGGGTGGGAAGACCCTGGAATTCAAGCATCCCATCGTTATGAACCATGGCCCTCAAAGCGGAGAATGCAAAATTAAGCCAGCCAACGGAATTGCATTTGTCACCAAATTTGTGATTGCGTGTAATAATTTCACAGATAAGCACGTTCCTCTGACATATAAAATGATAGTTTCTGATTTGGAAAGTATAGCTGAAATCAGTTCCGTGAAAGAGAACACGCTGGGGGCCATCCTGCACTTGGGGACAGACTTCACAGCGCCCCGCTCCTTTCTCCCTGTCGGTGTGCCAGCTGAAGGTCACAAGTTGAAGATAATTGTTCAGGTTTATGACTCTCTGGGAGCTTTTACTCAGGTAACCTTGTACTCCACAGTGGAGCCTCCTACGAGCAAAAACTCATCCAAGATGGTGCTGGACCAGTTACTGAATTCTACCATGGGCCCAAATTCATCACTGTCCATTCTACTTCAAGACCAGAAGTTTTTACCCGCAGGTTACTTAATGTATGTTATAGCTTCCATTTTAAATAACATGAAGCCCGAACTGGCTTTGCAAGGTGACAAAGTCAGGCTGCGCGAACACCTTCTCAACCAGTCTTCCGTTCTCCCAGTGAGCAGTTTAGTGGACATCAGCCAAGTAGTTGTGACCGTCGCCAAATTAACCCAGAAAGCCTCTGAATTCACTCAATCTGCTCGGCAAAACGCCACCATGAGGATGTGGCTGGCCAACCAAAGCCTGCAAAAATATCAGCGGAAAGATAAGCACTTCCGCTGTGAACAGATAGAAATCGTAAGCTCTGGAATATTGACAAGCCTGTCTAACATCCTGAAGCAGAGTGCCCACCACGCAGTGTACCAAGATCCTTTCTATCTGGCAGAATCCCTGTCAGAGACCCTGCTGACTTGCAAGGTGCCAGCGAATGAAGCCATGGTGAAGAATGCCAACTTGAGGATGTACTTTGAGAAAACAGAGAAGGGCAATGTGACCCAGGTCTTCAAAAACAAATTCTGCCAACATTGTTTTCAGGCCACCCTCAATGGGAGCAGAGTTCCTGGTCTGCCCATTAAGACTGTGGTCTCTACAGTGTTTTGGGAATTTGTCGAGGACCCCTTTCCTTGGCTGCATTACCCAGAAACCACTTCAGCCGAGGTGGTTGGATTCAGGATGTGGGGAGCCGCGGAGAATGCGGACGCCAGAGAGATCACACCCAACGTGCTGGAAGTGTTCCTCAACAGGAAGAACTTGACCTTTGCCACGTTTAACCTCACCGTGGGACCTGATGAGAAGGCGGATGGGTCCTTGAGGAAGACCACAGGGGGCTTCAGCTTTGAGGTGGACCATAGAGACGTGACGGAGGTGCTGGTTCATATTGTGACAGAAGTGACTGTGTGGTTCAAGGCGCTGGTGTACATGGGCAGTCAGGTCACTCCCACCGGTCTGGTTGCAACGTTCCTCGTGCCTCTCGACGTCCCTCCGATTGCCAACCAGACTGACCAGTTTGACCCGGACTGTGCAGTGAAGCAGGCCCGTGTGATCTGCCTCCCCACATCCCTGCTGCAAATCATAGCTCAGCGCAGCCAGTCGCCCAAGTGTGCCATAATCGTGATGCTCGAGGCACCTCGCTTTGTCCAGAAGCCCAACAGCATGCTCGTGAAAATCTCTCTTTTCAGCGTTCACTGCTTGGGCATGTATACGATCCAGAGTGACTGGAGAGAAGATTACTGCAGGCTTGGCGAGAGAACCACCTGGGAGAAGGTGCACTGTGTCTGCAAGAACGTGGGGCGGGCCAAGCGGCAGCTGAGCATAAAGAACCTGCCCAATATGCAGCTGCACACGCACTTCCTAACTGCCAAGGTCATCGTGGTCCCCAATCCTGTGGACCTGCGCATCAAGAACATCAAGAACATCAGCCAGAACCCAGTGACCCTCTTCACCGTGCTCTCCATCATGCTCCTGTACATCATCCTGGCCTTCTGGGCCCTGCACAGGGACGAGATGGACCAGTTCCTCCGGGACAACATCATAATTCTACCTGATAACGATCCTTATGATAAAATCTGCTACCTGGTCACTGTTTTCACAGGAAGTCGTTGGGGATCTGGGACCAGGGCCAACGTCTTTGTTCAACTTACAGGAACAGAGGGTGTCAGTACTGTGCATTGTTTAAGCCACCCATATTTTACAACTCTGTACCGGGGGAGCATCAACACTTTTCTCCTAACGACAAAAAGTGACTTGGGGGACCTGCATTCCATTCGTGTCTGGCACAACAACGAGGGCACATCTCCTAGCTGGTATTTAAGTCGGATCAAGGTAGAAAATCTGTTTAGCAGACAGATTTGGCTGTTCATGTGCCGGACGTGGCTCTCTGTGGACACTGTTTTGGACAGAACCTTCCAAGTTATGCCACCAGACATGCCTCTGAGAAAAAAGGATTTCTTCCTTATTGATATATCTAAAAATCTTGCAAAAAATCACATATGGTTCTCTATTTTTGCCGGTGTGGTTGCCAGGCCATTCAACCGGCTCCAGAGACTGTCTTGTTGTTTAGCATTATTGCTAAGCACTCTTCTTTGCAATATTATGTTCTTTAATGCAAACAAAGAACAGGAGGACAAGTCCAGAGATATGCAGTACTTTAGATCAATGGCAATAGGAATTGAAAGTGCCCTCATTACGGTCCCTGTGCAATTACTAATAACCTTTCTGTTCATCCATTCCCAGAAGACACATCAAGTGAGTTTAGACGAGGTAGCTCCTCACAAGCATCCGGTGATGTCAGAAGAGACCGGTTACTGGGACGAGCATCTGAACACGTGGCACGCTCAAGAGACTGCTGAGGAACACTCCAAGGAGCTCGCGAAGCCCAAATCCAAGCAGAAGCCCAAATCCCAGAAAAAGGCCAAATCCCAGGTGAAGCGTGTGTCTCACAGGGCTTCTGAGAAGAAACCCTTGAAAACAGGATCCAGGCATGCAAAAACAGGAGCCAAGGCCTCAGACATCCGTAGAGCCAATAAAAATTTCAGTAACAATACGGTAATAGAGGATCCAGAGGTTTACTCTGAATCAGCTTCTGATGAGCATCCTAAGCCTGTTGAAAAGAAGCGACAGATTGTCCTGCCTTCATGGTGTGTTTATTTAGCATGGTTCTTGGTTTACACCACTTCCAGCATATCTGCTTTCTTTATCGTCTTTTATGGACTGACTTATGGCTATGCGAAATCGATAGAATGGCTCTTTGCCTCTTTCTGTTCATTCTTCCAGTCTGTTTTTGTCGTGCAGCCTTCTAAAATCATACTGTTGTCTGGTGCCCGAACTAATAACCCCAAGTTCTGCAAAAACATCCCGTGGTCCACCAGGTATCACTACAGTGAGATCAGGCTTGATACAGCAAGTATGGCCCCAGAAGACAGGGAGAGGCTGCACCGTCACATTGCTAGACTCCAAGCGTCCAGGATGTACCAGCCCCTCACGGAAGATGAAATCAGAATATTCAAAAGGAAAAAGAGGATCAAGAGAAGGGCCTTTCTCTTCCTGAGTTACCTCCTCACCCACTTTGTCTTCCTCGTCCTCCTGCTGCTGCTCATCGGGCTGCTGCGCCACACCGACAGCTTCTACTACAACCAGTGTATTCATGATCGCTTCTCTGCGGACCTGGATTCTGTCACAAAGCTGGAGGACATCTACAGGTGGCTTAACAGCGTGCCCGTACCTCTGTTCCACAATGACCAGAATCCAACATTCCTTCCAGACAGTTCGTCGAAAATCCTCGGCCTTCCGCTCCTGAGGCAAGTGAGAGCAAAATCGGGTGGAAAGCTCTGTCTGCCCAGCGCCAACCTCGTGCACACCAGCACCATGAAAGAAATCCATTGCCGTCCCCAATACAGTGTTGACCCAGAAGACACAAAAGACTATTCTAGCTTTTGGAACGAAGTGACCAAGCGGCAGGTGGGCAAGAAAGTCAGTGGCTTTACTTACAAGCCTCGGGAGACGCGTTGGGTATACTATTCCCACGGGCTGTTACATACCTATGGATCAGGCGGCTATGCCTTCTATTTTTTCCCAGAAGAGCAGCTGTTTAATTCCACCGTGAGGCTCAGCGAACTCCAAGCAAGCAGATGGCTGGATGAGAAGACATGGGCCGTGGCTTTGGAACTAACGACCTTCAATCCTGATGTGAATCTGCTCTGTAGCATTTCTGTCCTATTTGAGGTCTCTCAGTTAGGAGTTGTCAACGCGAGCCTCTCTCTGCACTCCTTCACACTTGCCGATCTCAACCGGAAAACCTCAGCGGAAATCTACCTGTATGTAGCCATTCTCATATTTTTTTTTGCCTACATCATTGATGAAGTCTACATCATGACACAAGAGCGAGCTTCCTACGTGCAGAGTGTGTACAACCTCCTCAATTTGGCTTTGAAGTGCTTCTTTACTGCACTGATTGTGCTGTTTCTCAGGAAGCACGTCTTGGCCACCGGTGTGACAGAGTTTTACTTGTCGAACCCCAAAGACTTCATTCCCTTCCATGCGGTTTCCCAAGTGGATCACGCCATGAGGATCACGTTGGCTTTCCTGCTGTTCCTGACCATTCTAAAGACCCTCAGATATTCCAGAATCTTCTACGATGTGCGCCTGGCTCAGAGGGCCATCCAGACCGCCCTTCCTGGCATCTGCCACATGGCATTGGTGGTGTCTGTGTATTTCTTCGTGTACATGGCTTTTGGGTATCTGGTATTCGGTCAGCACGAGTGGAATTACAGCAACTTGATCCACGCCACTCAGACCATATTCTCCTACTGTGCCTCAGCTTTCCAAAACACGGAGTTTTCCCACAACAGGGTTCTTGGGGTCCTGTTCCTCTCTTCCTTCATGCTGGTGATGATCTGCATCTTGATCAACCTGTTCCAGGCCGTGATCCTGTCTGCCTACGAGGAAATGAAGCAGCCGGTATATGAGGAGCCGTCAGAAGAAGTGGAAGCCATGACCTACCTGTGTCACAGGCTGAGGCCAATGTTTCGCTTTATGAGTCCCCAGCCGAGGGCCGCAGAGGAGCCCGAGTTCTTCAATGACATGCAGTACGGACAGCAGCCCGAGTTCTTCACTGAAATGCTGTATGGACAGCCTGAGAAGAAGAGCCACCGGTATCTGGGGCTGAAGACCAGAAACATCAATGGGAAGAAGAGGGTTTACCTCGTGGTTTGATTTCTAGAGGCACCAGGGCAGAGCTTCTCCCCAGATGCTGAGCTCATGACATCAGTGGCCGCTGATGCTCTTGAGCCATGTCCTTCATGCTGCATCTGCCTTTTTGGAACATGAAGCAGGATGTGGCACAGTATCTGGGGAGAGAGGAACATGTGGATTCTTAGATTGCCCTGCCTCTTGAGGGCTGTTCTGTAAGTTAGGGCACAGGGCAACCCTTGCTGTTTGCTTTGGTCTACAACAGGATGAGGAGTTCAGATTTGGTGGGGGGTGGGGGGGACAGCTTATGAGGTCCCTCCCTCCCTAGGCCTGGGCAGGGAGGAACAGGCTCCATCAGCATCCTTCCTTGTGAGACCCAGGCTGCTTCAAATGAGTGCCAGCCTCTGGCCTGCTGGGAGACCCCTTAGTGGGCAGGGCCGGGGGCCACCCTTTCCACAATTCCTGCCTGGTGAAGGCTAAGGGGGCCTTGAGGAGCATCCCAGGACATGCTCTCATGTGGCAATGTAGGGATGGGAGCCTGTTTCCATTCCCCCTTACACAAGTCCAAGTTAATGTAAAATCCAGTATCATTTCTAGATCCCCAGTTTCGGTTCTTGTTAAGCCCAAAAGGCTTGTATGCGTTCACACTGCAATAGAGTTAAGTGTTGCGTGTGTAGCAAGACTTGTGCATTTGGTTGTTTGTAGCTCATTTAGCACCAGGGGAGCGTGGTTGATCATGTGATGGTTCACAGGCCTAGCAGAGGTGTGTTCTCACTCAGGCATGTTTCTGTGTGGGTGCTATTCAAGCTTTCCTGGAGTTCAACGTGAGGTTTCTCCTAAGAGACTTGCAGTGATTTCTGCATGAAGCGCCCCGGCCACCTGCCTCCTGCCTTCAGAACTGAGAGCCAGAGAAGGGAGATGGCCAGGGCCCCCAGCCCGCCACGTGGACGGTGTCTGTACCCCACAGGCGTCCATCACCCTGAGTGGCCCTGGCATGGCTGTGGCAGGCATGCTTCGTAGCACAGCACATGTCCCAGCCTGTCTCTGTGAGTACCCGTGCTGCCTGTCGTGTCCTGGCAGTCAGCAGCTATCAAGTCCCACTTGGATGTTCCTCCTTGGCGGAGAGCTTAGGTGTGACCTGGACGCTGGGGGCCCATTGCCTGCGCCCAGAGCACAGCTTCACTGCACAGTCCCTAACTGAAACCAGACTTCTACACAGACGGGAACAGGAGTAACTTGGAGCCCAAGTCCTGTGACTGCTAGCTCAGACAGGCCTGCTGTTGTCAGCGAAATGGGTACCTAAGCTTATTCTTCCCCAGTGTCGGCACCCCTTGTCACTAGAATTCTATATAGCTTTGAAGCGGCACTGAAATTCTTTTCCGTGTTGGTCTCCAGTCGCAGAAAATGCTGTCTATAGAAATGAATGGCTACTGCGATTCCAAGGCAGATTTCTCCCCCCACTGAAAACAAAATGTAGCCCACTGTGAAGGACAGCAGGTGCGCAGCCAGCCCCGCTGGCCTGGACGTGTCTGGGGTGCTGGTCCCCAGTGTGTGCCAGGGAGGCAGGGGTGCTGCTGAGGGCTCAGCTGCTGGCAGGAGGCTGGCCAGGCGCGGCGCGGGGCAGGCCGGAGCTCTGTGACCCACCTTGTCCTGCTGGAGGACCCTGAGCCTCCTCGCCCCCCCGGAGCCCGGCCGAAGGCCAGAGCCGCAGGCCCGAGCGCACGGCCCGGACCGCAGGACGCGCCTCCGCGGAAGCCGGCCGCCCGTCGGCTGCGAGCTGCGCATGCGCCGGCGACGCTGGGCGGGGCGGGACGGCGTCGGGGGCGGCGGAGCCTGAGGAGACGCGGGCGGTGAGTGCGGGCCCGAGCCGGGCTGGGGGTGCGGGCCCGAGCCGGGCTGGGAGTGCGGGCTGGGGGTGCGGGCCCTGAGCCGGGCTGGGGGTGCGGGCTGGGGGCTGGGGGTGCGGGCCCTGAGCCGGGCTGGGGGTGCGGGCCCGAGGCGGGCTGGGGGTGCGGGCTCTGAGCCGGGCTGGGGGTGCGGGCTGGGGGCTGGGGGTGCGGGCCCTGAGCCGGGCTGGGGGTGCGGGCTGGGGGCTGGGGATGCGGGCCCGAGCCGGGCTGGGGGTGCGGGCTGGGGGCTGGGGGTGCGGGCCTGAGCCGGGCTGGGGGTGCTGGCTGGGGGCTGGGGGTGCGGGCCCTGAGCCGGGCTGGGGGCTGGGGGTGCGGGCCCGAGCCGGGCTGGGGGCTGGGGGTGCGGGCCCGAGCCGGGCTGGGGGTGCGGGCTGGGGGCTGGGGGCTGGGGGTGCGGGCCCGAGCCGGGCTGGGGGTGCGGGCTGGGGGCTGGGGGTGCGGGCCCTGAGCCGGGCTGGGGGCTGGGGGCGCGGGCCCGAGCCGGGCTGGGGGTGCGGGCTGGGGGCTGGGGGGTGCGGGCCCTGAGCCGGGCTGGGGGCTGGGGGTGCGGGCCGAGCCGGGCTGGGGGCTGGGGGTGCGGGCCCGAGCCGGGCTGGGGGCTGGGGGTGCGGGCCCGAGCCGGGCTGGGGGTGCGGGCCCTGAGCCGGGCTGGCCGCGCCGCGGACGCGGGGCCTGTGGAGGCCGTTCCCTCCCCTCCCCGCTTCCCGACCCTGGCGTGTCCCGCCATCCGCGTGGAAGGCACTGCGGGGTACCCCGTGCCCCAGCCCGCCGGGCCCAGCAGCAAGCCCTGGTGGCCGCCAGTCGTCCCTCACAACAGGTGCTTTGCAGGAAGGCGGCTGTTGCGCCTGGACAGCGGCATGCATCGGCCGGGTGGCTGACACATCCCTCGCCGTGGTCCGCGCTTCTTGGCTTGGGGTGTCCCTGGCTCGTTCTCCGTCGCGGGGGTGTGTTTTTTTCTTCATTTGTCTAGTTGTAGGTTAATTTTATTGAACTTAAAAAAGTATACTCAATTAAAAAAAAAAAAACCAGAAAAAGAATCACACGAAAGAAACAGAAAATGGACTTACAGAAAAACCAGCAAGACTAAGTTTCCGTGCGTGCCAGGGTGGCCTGGCCCCTGGGTGGTGGTCTGCTGCCGCGGGCACCGGGCTCTCAAGGTGACGCGCCTGGCCGCTGGCCCTTGCAGATGGCGGGCGAGGCAGAGCGCCGGGCCTCGGGTGTGTTCCAGTGCCAGCTCTGCAGCTTGACAGCGCCCTACAGCTACGTGGGCCAGAAGCCCCCCAACACCCAGTCTGTTGTGTGAGTACACGTGGTGGGGTCTCAGTCTGACTCCTGGCTTGGGGCGTCCTCGGCCTGCCCTCACCCAGGCTCTGGATGATTCCAGTGTGGCCTAAGGAGACGCCGACCTGCCGAGGGCATCTGAGTCTTCCAGAATCCCCGTTCTCCACACACAGCCCAGCCCTGGGGTAGACACTGGGTGGCCCAGGCTGGAGCGGCCCAGTGTGGTGGGGTGACACTGCCTCCTCCTGGGGGTGCGCTTGTGGTTCCTGCCTGTGGTGCTGGGCCTGGGACGCCTGTCTGTGGGCCACGTGTGCTCTGCGGGCAGTGAGACCAGGGGCCTCTCCCTGCGGGTCTGACCAGAGCAGGCCAGGGCAGAGCCGCAGGCCTCTGAGCTTGCTTCCAGCTGATCCTTCAACCGTTGTCCTGCAGTGGGTACGCTCCCTGTGTGTGCTTGTTGGGACGCTGTGGCAGGGGACCCCGTCGGGCTGACCCTACTGGGCGGTAGGGGGCTTTCTGCCTGCGGTGCCAAGGAGGGCTTGGGGCATCTTTGTGAGCCCAGCTGGTACAGCAGGACGGTGCCTGGGGCCTGCCTGGTGGCAGCGTCCTCGTTGGCAGGCTAACTGAATTCGTGTCCTGTGGCACAGATGCTGCACCCAGCAGGCCCAGTGGCTGCTCTCGCCCAGGAGGGAACCGTCCAACAGACTACCAATTGGTATTTTTTTCCTGCAGCCTCCTGGAGGAGAGCTACGTCATAAAGGACCCCTTCTCCTCGGACAAGGCCGCCTTCCTGGTCCTCGGCGCACAGTGCAGTCTGTGCAACAGACTCGTGTGTGTGGGCCCGGTGTGTAAGCTGTATGGGCCACTGTGGGGAGGGGGAAGCCAGCGGGGTTTGCCTTGTGATCTAGGAGGCCCTATGGCCTGCTCCTGGGTTGGGCCCCCGAGGGGCTGGAGGGGTGGGGTTTCGGGGTTGCAGCCTAGAGTGGGAGCAGTTTTCTGGAGCTCTGCGCTCCACCCCAAGGATCCCATGACGTCCCCATTGGCAGCACAGTGGGCTTGGACTGCTGTGCTAAGCATGAGGGTCGTCCTGGGTGTCCTTTGGGGACCTCCTGGAGCCAAGAACTCTGTCGGAGTGTGAGCCTGGGCTTGTCCTGCAAGTGAGGCTTCGTTCTGTCGGGTCCCCAACCTAGTGAGAGAAGGTGAAGTGTCACCTCCACTTGAAGGACAAACTGAAGCTCCAGGAGACCAGGTGCGCCGAGTTGGCCTGGATGGCTGAGGATGGACGGAGGGCAGCAGGGTGCCCTAACGTAGTTCTGAAGTCTGACAAGTGAGCCGTTGGGGCAGCGTGCGCATGGATGCCCTGCCACACAGCTGCTCCCAGCCAGTGGAGATCAGGTGGACTGGGCAAGCGGAGGTGTGTGAGTGCGCTAGTGGGGCCGGGGTCGTGGCAGTGGAGAAGCTGGAAGTCCAAGATGGGCACAGTGGGGCTGAGGGGAAGCCTTGGACTTGAACTGCACTGGGTGAGAACAGGGGAGGGTGCCCACGTGGCATCAGTGATCCTCGGCATTGATGGATGAGGGGGTCCCTGGCAGCAGAGCACTTGGGAGAACTGCAGGAGAGGCAGCCATGAGGTGTATTTGCTGGGACAAAGTAACAGGGCAGAGTTCTAAAACATGTCCCGATTAGCATGTTTCTCTTTGTGAGAGTCCAGGACAGGTGACCCTGGCTGGACCAGCCCTGCTGCCTTCCCCTCACACCCGACCCCTAGCATCCTTGGACCCATTGTGGCAATTGCACCTCCTGATACCACATGTAGGACCTATCCAGGAAGGGACAGGGGTGTGCCCACTGGCAGCACACACCTCTGCTGCCAATACCCCTGACCTGACTTCATCGTGTGGCCATGCCCACCTACAGAGGGGGCTGGATACCAGATCGGGCCCACGTGTCCTAGTGTTGCAGGTGGTGGGCAGGTGGACAGGGCTGGACGGTTGTGGCTTCCTGTCTGGAGCAGCCACTCACGCACAGCCTCCCACGCCCAGCTGTGAGAGCCCAGGTCTGGCTGTGGCCTGTGCTGTGGCCTCCTGTCCTGGAAGAGCCTGTGAGTTGCATGTCAGCTGGGTAGCTGAGGCCCTGGCGCCCTGGCCTGGTGGCTGTGTGGCATGGGCCCAGCCCTCGGGGAAGCTGTGGCATACCCTCAGGCTCACCCCTCTCCCCACCTCCCAGGAGTGCAGTCTCTTCTACACCAGGAGGTTCTGCCTGCCGTGCGTCCGGGAGCACCTCAGTGCCTTCCCGCAGGAGATTGGGCAAGATGTGGAAAAAAGGAAAGCTCCCTCCAAGAAGCCCTCCAGCCAGCACACGCATGGGACGTGACCACCTCTGGGGCTGGGGCGCGGGCAGCGCCATGCAGAACTCCTGGCCCTAGGGGAGCAGCAGCTGTGCCTGAGGGAGCCATGCGGGGACGTGCCCCAGGGGGTGGCATCAGCCTGAACGTCTGGTGAACCCAACTTGCAAGCTTCAGCACCCGCGAGGCCCCGTGGGGGAGGAGGCAGCATGTCCAGGGCCCAAAGGCTAGGTTGCTGTAGGAACAGCAGCGGTGGCCTTTGGGAGCCAGACAGCAGCTGTGAATGGGCAGTTTCCACTCTGTCCCGTGTAATGCTGGGGAGTCTGGTTTGTGAGTGCCCCTGGAGGAACCCCATGTGCCCCACGGGTGCAGCTTGCCGACGTCGCTTGGAGGCAGGAGCTGTCAGTACTGCAGGCCCAGCCACTGTGTTGGGTGAAAAATAAAGTTCTTCACAGAATGATGTGGGCCCAGTGTTCTATTTCGAGAGACCCACACTTAGAGTTTGACGGGCAGAGAGAGACAGCCAGCCTCAGTGTGGGGATCAGGCCAGAGCCGAGGGCCCAGAACCCAAGCACTTGGGTTGTCACCACTGGCTCCCAGCATGCGTCAGCAGGAAACCGCATCATGAGCAGGGCCGGGAAGCAAGCCAGACGCTCCGCTGCAGGGTGCAGGACAGGGGTCTGTTCCCACACCCACTGGCTCCAGTGACTGCAGAGGAATGGACGTTGCGTCCCAGACCCCTTCTGTGCCAAGGATGCTATGCGGGAGGAACCAACCTCGGGGCGAGTGTGGGGACAGCAGACGAGGGACCCGGTAGCTGGGGACCGGTCTTGCCTTAAAACTGAGTCACTTGTATCACAACACCACCCACTCACACATCTGCAGGCAATTTTAAAAAATAGTTTATTTTTTAAAACCATTAAGGCAAAACTGTACCCTGAAATTAATTCTTTACATTCATCAGTCTTACAGTAGGACATTCCAAACATATACATCCCCAACAAATTGACTGAAATTAGTTCAGTCTCCTCAGAGGAACATGAAGAAGACCCAAGACTTTCTTAAAAAAAAATTAATTAGTTTATCATATGCATTTTCTGGTAGCCTAGAACCAATCAGTGTCTGACTGGGAGAATGACCTTTGCCCTTCCTTGACTCCGGATTCCTAAGTTCCCAGATAGACACCCCACCTCCAACCCAGAGGGCAGAGGCCATGGAGCCACTCCCAGTTAGTGCGAACCCAGGGCATGAGGCCTGGACCCCGAGGGCGGGCACGCGAGTGTGTGCCCTGTCCCTGGGTTTGAGCAGGTGCCTCTGTGGACCTAGGGTGTTAGCCATTCATGGAGACTGTTGGGTCTGCACAGTGGGGCAGCTTGAAGGACCAGCAGGCCACAGAGCCCAGTCACTTCCAGCGGGGTCTTCCCACGGCTCTTTGGTGATGACCTGGGGGTTGTCATTCCCTGAAGGGTGGCACTTCCTGCACACAATACCGTGACTGGGACAGGCCTGTGTGTGGCAGGTGAGTTCTGCAGGGCGTGGGAGCCATCCAGAGCCTCAGCAGGTGTGCGTATGTGTGTGTGGCATTTCAGCTTGGGTATGCTTCCAGCAGGTTCCAGAGCTAAACTTTGCCATATATGTGACAGTTAACACAGATTCTGAGAGACCCAAGTGTTTGTGATTAGATGTGTGATTGTCAGTTAGTGAAACACTTGCATTAGGGTGGGCTTTAAAAAAAACTGCGATCACGTATTTAAGATCTAGCTGGTGACACTCTATGACACTGTAAAAAAGAGTGCTACTCGTCAAAGCAACCCCCTCCCCTCGAAAAAGGCACCGAGTAGTGACATCTGTGAGGTACTTGTCATCTGTGCCTTCTGAGCATGAGTGGTTCTACCGAGGCCTGAGGGACCCGGAGAAGTGGCTCAGGATCCTCAGCCTCATTCAGTCCACGAGGTCTGGAAGCTGGGCCCTGAAGAGCCAGGCCAGAGGCAGCGACTGCTCTGCCCGTTTCTTGGGACAAAAACAAGTAAGTCCTTGCAAACCAACAAGGATTCCGTTCTCTAAAAACCGAAACGCCGCTAACTGCAGGCTCAGCAGCTTAGAGCAAGCTGTGGGGTGGATACAGATGTGCTCTGAGTCCCCAGTGGCGAAGGACGCTGCTGGCTGGGTCGTGTCAGCTGGACCACGCCACGCAGCCCCTTCACCCACGCAAGGCAAGAATCCTGCCGGCTCACTCTTACAACTCCACAGTCGGCTGCTGTGCCTGTGCCTGTGCACAGGAGGCAGGTGAGGGCTGTCCTGGGCCTTGCTTGGCAAGCCCTTCGCCTGCCGCACTGTGGCTGGTAGAACCTGCTGTGCCCCCGAAACAACTCACTTGGTCATTAAAGCAAGGGGTGACACAGACTTCCCTGAACTGGCGACTTCTTGTGCAGAGTGGATTCTAGAGGATTCTAACAGTGCAGCTATTCTGAGAGACCAAACTCAGCTGCTTTCACTCTCTTCATTGGGGACCCGGACTACTGAAATGGCACCTGACACAGCTCGCAGGCCCAGTGACCCCGGAGCCCCTGGACCTTGGAACGAACATGGGGGTGCTCTGAGAGGTGAGGGAGGCACAGGTGGTCTGATGGCAGAGTCTTCCAGAAAGGCACAAGCTGGTTGGCACAGCACAGTGCGAGCCAGTTACCCTCTGCTGTTGGCACAGCTGGGATCCCCCGGAGCCTTCCTGCCATGGATATTCAGGGAGATTTCTGTTCCTGGTGGTGACAGGACTACAGATGGCAGGAAATCCCCGTGCAGCTGCTCAGGTCTGCTCAGGTCAGGAGTTAAGAGGAGCTGGGCTGCCCTCAGAAGAGGGAAGCCGTGCCCCCATGGTGGTGCCAAGGCCCTCAGCATCACATGTGAATCCCCTGGGGGCGCTTGCTCACAAGGATGGCATGCTCTCCACTTAGGGCTTCTGCGTGCAGGATGGCTTCCTTGGCGTCTGCAGTGGAATCCTCTCAAAGCAGGCACGCACACACCTGGCCTCCAGTGACAAAGAGCAGAGTGCAGTGGAGGGCAGAGGCGGCCAAGCGCAGCCCAGGTGTGCAGCGGCCTGCGCAGGTGCTGAGCCGTGACACGCAGCAGCCTCTCCCGGGGCACCTGCAGGATGGGAGTCCACAGGCCCTGAAGAGGTGCTTGCCCAGGACCCTGGGAAGCCCCCACGGAAGACCCCAGCAGAGCCAGCTTGGAATTGAGACAGTGGGCTCAGATTTAAACAAATGCAATGCCCAGCGTGCTCCTGTGATGACTGGAAAGTGCTGCAGCCGGCACTGGGGAGCAAGACACATGGCTGCGTGTAGGGCCGACATGCTCCACCGGGGGGAGCTGTGAGCTTGTCCCAGTCAGACGGTCAGGGAGGGGCCGCAAAGGGGAAGGCCTTCTGCCCGCGTGCAGTGGCTACGGAGGTCAGCTTGTAGGACACCCAGCTGGGAGTGCCCACGAGGCAGCTTACAGCCATGCAGGGGCCCGACCCTGACAAGCCTGGCTGTTCTTGGCTCAGGTCGGCACGCGAGCCTGGGTGGCCGGTCACTTGGTAGTTTCCGAGGATGTGGGCGTGGGTGGCTTTTTCAAGCTGTGGAGGAGCCAGGTGTACCCTGGGCTGTGGAGCGGGTCCTGCTGGGCTGCCCCGTGTCCACCGCCTCTGGCTGCGTCTCTTTGGTCCTCTGCTGACATGTGACCCCGAAGACCAACATGCGTTCTATTTCCTGCTTGAGAGGCGGCGGGCTCTTGGAGCAGGACAAGGTCTGTATTTGACGCCCTGAGAGACCTTTGATTCGGTGACCTCAGATAGTGGACGTTAGTGTCATCTAACTAAGTGGGACGTGTGACTCTCCTTCCTGCTCATGTCAAGGGAGCCTCAGGCTGTGGTCACTGCCGTGGTGCCATTGATGTGTGGGGCACCCTGGGAGCCAGTGCACGGCCGTCAGGAACAGAACACTGGCTGTTTCAAGAGCTGGGCTCCGTGGCTCCCCTTCTTGGCCTGCTGTTTGAAGGCGAGGGTGTCTGTGCAGTGTTGGGGAGGCCACGGGATTCAGCTTCAGGTCCCGAAGGCCTCAGCTGCCACCCATGCTGGTGCCCACAGGGCCCACAGGTGTGCAGCCATGGATGCGCCTGTGACCCCAAGGCGGGTCACCTTCTCGGAAGGTGTTTTTGCTTCTGCTGCACTGGCCCCACGGATCCTTCCACCAGATCTTCATGAGAACAAGCACCACAGAATGTGTGCACCTCCAGGGGGATGTGTTGAGCTGACCTGTGTGCTCTCAGCACGATGTCGAAGTCGTGCCAGCCCTGGGCCCTCCCAGCCCCAGGCCCCATCACCCACCCCTCAGCAGTGCACAGTCATGACCTTGGAAGGGCCACAGCTTCTAAAAGTAGATGGCGGTGGGGGGTGCCAAGAATGCAGCCCCACGGAGGCCCCAGCAGGCTCGGCCCCACTGTGGCCACAGAGACAGCGTTCCCTACTCTGGGTGGACAACGGGGCCCTCCTGGCTTTTCCCGTGGCAGTGAGGTTGAGAAGTTGATTGTTAAGGCAAATGCATTTTTGATGTTGAAAAACTGCCTTACACAGCCTAGGGGACCCACTGCCTTACACAACCTAGGGGACCCACTGCCTTACACAGCCTAGGGGACCCACTGCCTTACACAGCCTAGGGGACTCACTGCCTTACACAGCCTAGGGGACCCACTGCCTTACACAGCCTAGGGGACCCACTGCCTTACACAGCCTAGGGGACTCAGAAAGCTTGTGGGAATAGAATGGAATTGGGGTTAGTGTTGTGTTGCTGCAGGTTTCCCCTTAAATCCACACCTATCTTTTTCATAATTTGCATTTTCTGCAAACTTTTTGAAGACCATCTGCACAGTGGGAGAGGGGACTTAACTCCCCAGGTCTCTGAGATCTGGGGTCAGCGACGCTCTCAGGCGAAGGCTCTGCCACTCTCTCCTCCCCCAGCCTCCAAAGACCAGCACCGCCCCTCGGGAGCAGAAGTCACATCCACCCCGTCTCTGCTTTGGGAGGTCAGCCAAGCTCTGCCAAGGAGGTAGGAAGAAGCGCTGGGTTTTCAAGACATAGGGAAAAACACGGGAGTTGCCTAATGGGCCTCCCACCCAAAATTTCAGAAACCACTCCCCTGTTAGCCCCTAAAAAGCGCTAGTGGGGTACCAGGAGCCCGAGGACATGGGCCCAAGAGGAGCCAGCTGGGCAGCTGAGCTTCAGACCGTGCATGGCTTTTGGCTGACTCAGCTTCCAGCGGCTCCTGGAGCTCCAAGGCACTTTGCTAGTATCTTCTAAGAAACCCCAAAGGGGGCTTTGCCCGTGTTCATAGTCACAGCCCCCAACGAACTGCGCTGGGACAGCTTATCCAAGAGTCCGTTACAATTCTCCATCCTCTGCTTCAGCCGTGGGAAGGGGGACTGAAGTCTGTGTAAATATTGTGCTGGTTTTCCATAGCTGAGCTTTTACGTCGAGACGGAGAGGACCAGGAAGGTAGGTCATAAAAAAAGTGCAGATTAGTTTTCCAGATTGTGCAGGTGCATGGCCACTGAAGGACAGGCACAGAGGGGACAAGTCACAGGTAACTCGGCGGCCAAGTGCTGGTGTGAGGCAAGGAACCGTGCCTTGGTGCGCAAAGGTGGTGCCAGGCAGGCCTCGACGAGTCCTAGCAGCTGAGGCACACCTGGGTCCAGGAGAAGCCATGCGAGGCCGGGTGCCGTGGGCGGTCAGTACATGTCCCTGTAGATCTCCTGCAGCAGTGGATGCAGCGCTGCCTCCGACTCGGTCTTCTTGATCACCTGCACCAGCTGCGCGTGCTCCGTGACCAGCTGCCGCAGGTCGGCCAGCTTCTGGAGCAGCTTGGGGAAGAGGAAGGCGTCGTCAGGGTGGTTGCTGCGCAGGTGGAGCCGCAGCACGTGCACGATGCCCTCCTGCATCTTCTCGATGGAGCCGATGTCCAGGAGGCCGGGCCGGTCTGCCGGGGGGAGAGAGAGGCGTCGGAGCGATCCCCCACCCCCAGGTTCTCCCATCCAACCTCCCCCGGGGTGGTGCTGGCTTGATCTACACATGGCACAGGCTGGATCTGCAAGGGACTAAGAGGCCCAACAGCCACGCCTCAGTGTGCACAGCACCTGCCTGTCAGGGAGTCCCCGGCAGGCTGCTACTGACCACACCCACAGCGGGGCCCACTGTACGCAGGCCTGAGTCAAAGCCCATGTCTGGTGGCAGTTCTGCTGCTAACCTGGCAAGACTGGCATCGTGAGACTCTTGGGCTTTGCGCCACAAGGACTGCCACAGATGTCCTCTGATGTGAACCAGGTGGACAGCTGGACACAAGGGGGCACAGAGGAGACGCTGGGGTAAAAGTGCCACTGTTCTCGCAGGGGACCCAGGCACCTTTGCCTCTGTCCCAGGCCTCCTGGGACACTCTCATGACATGTGTCCTGATTCCTGGTCCAGAAAACACAGCCCAGGGCCTACTCAGCAACTCTGACACTCCCTGGATCCACTCACTACCGTGACTTGCAACAGTGTCATGAACACTGTCTTAAAATGTTCACTCTTGTCTTCAATGTAGAATAAACATCATTATTATGCTTTTAAGCAGAGAAAAAATGTGAGTGACAGAACGCACCCTCCCCCTCCTTCAGTCCCCTTCCCTCCATCACAGCAGGTGCCACAGACCTGTGTGTCCAAGACTGATGTTCATTTCTTTGATAACACAGGGATCGTGCTGCATATAAATAGTTCCGCCTGCTGCTAAGTCCCAGAGTCACGTCTTGCTCACAGGATGGATGATGGCAGTACACGCCACTCAGTAAGCCAGCCCAAGGCCCTCTTCTAGGGACTGGTGCCCCCCGGCAGTGGGATGGGCATTGAGCCCATCGCAGCGGCAGCAACACTCAGGCCGTCCGGGCAGGAAGTGTGTGTGTGTGCGCGCACACGCGTGTGCTGCCACTCGTCAGTGCCCGCTGGGGCCATGCAAGGGCGATGGCTTTACAGTAGGTACATGACCTTCCCAGCCCTGAGACAGGCTATTTATAGGGAGGTGACATGAAGCCAGAGCTCTGGGCTGGAGCCAGCTGCCCCAGGGAGGCCTGCCTTCCACATCCCATGGCAGAGCCAGCCGTGCACTCACAGCCAGTCAGTGGCTCTTGCTGGTTTTCGTATGACATGGCGTCAGTGACCCCAGCGGCGACAGGGACGACGAGGATGTGTGTAGACCCTGTGTGGGACACGGCTTAGGGCGTGGAGATAACTATGCTGCAGTCAGTGACAGCTGTGTGGTCCTGTGATGATCCTACCGTGAATGGGACAGTTGTCCATGTCACATGTGTGTCCTGGAGCCGTGACTGTATATAGTATGTAAATATTCTACACTGCAATACTGACCCAGTTCTCTCTCGGCTCTGTGTGGTGACCTCAGAAACACGGGGCTCCCCATGCTGGCCAGCACCCGCTGCACTGGCCACACACACACACAAGGGACCCCGCGGCAGCAGGACGGACCCCCACTCACCTCCACAGCAGATGATGGCAGCCACAAAGAGGGAAATGTCACTGTCATCCAGTTCCAGCGCGTTAAACTTCATAGCGAAGTCAAATTTGGGCTCCATGATATCACAAAACGGTTTTCTGAGGTTTTTGAGGAATTCGCGCGTGATGAAGCCGTTGCCCTCGGCTATGAGCATCCCGTCCTTGTTCATCATGGATGACAGCATCGCGAAGATGGCCTCGTAGACGCCGTACTTCAACAAGGTGACTTGGTCGTTGAGGTCCAAGCTTGCGAAGCCTGGGATGGCCTTGGCGAACTCGGTGAGTTCCGTGACAGTTTCCACCGACATGCACTGGCAGCAATGGAAGATGCGGACCTCAGCCTCCTTGTTCTGGACGCCGTTGGCCACCATCTTGGCCACGAGTGTCTTCTCGGCCATACACAGCGTCTCCATGTCGTGTATGACGAAAGGCTGTGAACAAAGACAGGAAGATACGCCAGACTGCCCAGGACAAGTACATGGCCCTTTACCAGCAAAACCACGAGGAACCTTTACCAATGAAGCCTCCTGGTACCACGGAGAATCCAAAACACAGCCCCGGGCGGCTCCAGAGTTGCTTGAGGGCAAGTACGAGGGAGGTGACTGACACCTGACATTGTCGAGAAATGCAGATACCACCTCTAGCTGCAGCCAGCAAGAGCCAGTTGCACTTTATAATGTTTTATGATACTAAATTTTATAAGTCTCCGAACTCCTAAGTCCTGCTTTAATACTTCAAGATACGATAAGAATTCTTAGTTGTAGTACTCACGGCATGTCATTTTTTCCCTTCAAGCAACTCAGGAAGGTAGGGTGTGCACCTGTGAGTGAATAGGTGTCGGAGAGCTCTGCCCGTATGCCCAGAACTGGTGCTGAGCCCCTGTGCCCGCTCCCTGCAGGCCACTGCGCCATGTATCTGAGCCCACTTAGATACATGAACAAAGACAGGAAACTAACTGTTCGTGGGTCCAGTGTGGGGCACATGCTGTGGCCTACAGGTGCCCATTTGAGTCCTACTGATCCAGCTTGGTGTGGGAAAGCGGTGGAAGGTGGCTCAATGCTTTGAGCCTCTCATCCCAAGCGGGAGACCCAGAAGAAACTCTTGGCTGCTGTGGCCATTTGGGAAGTGAACCAATGGATGGAAGATTTTTCTGTCTCTCCTCTCTGTAAACCTGCCTTTCCAATACAATAAATCTTTTTTCCCAAAGGCTCTAACAGTGCTTTGCAAGCACTCTAGGCAGCAGGAGACTCTCTGAGAGCCACCAGCTCTGCCTGCACTGGGCGGAACCAAGTCCTACAGTGTTTGTTAGACTAGAAAGTGGCAGGACAGCTGAGTGTCACCTGCTACTGTGACTTCTTACAGTTAAAACACTCTGTGTGAATGGAGGGTCCCCTTCCCTTATTTCGGACGTCACAGCTACTTGCAAGGCAAAGCAAGGGTGAGCACACATGAGTGATATGTGTGTATGTGTGCATGTGACTGGGCGCCTGCGTGTGCTGGGGGCTGGAGCCCTGGGCGGCTGGGAAAGGTGCTGAGCAGGCCAGATCTCCCGTCTGGTCAGCTCGGTCCAGGAACTGGACAAGCCTGCTGCTGAGCAAGGGTCACCGGGCATAGATCAACACAACTAGGCTGAGGGCAAAGCTCGCTCCCCGACGTATTTCCAAGGCACTGGGGACTGCCCAGTGTAGGCTCTCATGGGGATGCGGCTAGAGACGGATGAGCGGGCTGGGTAGACACGAGGCAGGCCATCACTGGCTCATCGTGGCCAACCGGCAGCTGGGTGGGGACAGAAGAGTGGACCATTCCTCCGACATACTGCGTGTGGACAGCCACGGTGGGATGTGATCCTGGTCAGTGGCACTGAGTGACCCACAGCTCGACACATCTGAAAACTGACCCCTGGGGGAGCTGGGACTGGGCTGTGACAGTGAGTATCCAGGCAAATGGAGTCAGCCAATGGACCTTGGAAGGACTTCCTCAACCTTGGAGTGATAAAATCAACAGAACTATTGAAACCACTTTGAGCAGTACCCTTGGAACATGCTCCAGCCTGGGATGACATCGGGTGGCTGTCCCCCATCCCTAGGTGCTGATGAGGCTGGGCAGCAGCCCTCTCCATTCCTCTCCTCAATTTCCCCAGATACAGGAAGAAAAGGGGAGATTGGAGGCAACTGTCTCATCTCCTGTCCCCCGTCCTGGACCCTGTTCACCCTAACTGGTGGTCCACATGGGCAGGCATCCCTCTCAACTATGTAAACATCATGAAAAATAAAATATTTTTAAAACCTGGCCTCTGGAATGCTGTGGTGTGGCTGGGCCGGTGGCAATTCCTAAGAGTGCACAGAGGTCTGTGTCTCCAGTCCAAGCAATCCCAAGCCTGCAGCCTGGACAATCAACCTCAAGAGGGCAGCACCAGGCAGCTTCCGCCACGCGCAGCAGTGTGAGTGGGTCCTCGCCTCCAAGGAGGAATCTGCACATGGCTGCTCCAAGCCCACGAGTCCAAGGAGCGATACGGAGAGCCTTGCCAACAGTAAGGATGGCTTTGAACCTTGCCTTGAATTCCAGAAATTAAAGGCAGAAAGAGAAGCTTCCACATGGAAACCCAGGGACCTCGCAGGACCGAGTGAGGTCACCTTGGCTTTGCACTGGGCTCGGCAGGGGCAGGACTGGCAGGTGCAGTGGGGCCACACTGCCCAGGTGTTGGCTCTGGGAACTGGCCTGGCCTACTTAACCACAATTCGCTGAGGAATGAGAAGCATCAGCCAGAGCGGGGCTTGGTCTGTGCAGGCAGCTAAGCAGCTTGCTTGCAAGGCGCTGTGATCCCGCAGGCCAGCCGTCACTGCTGACCAGGACCGCCCCAAGCCCTGCTCAGCACAGACTCAACCTGTCCCGCCAGGCTCCTGGAAGAGGGCCAAACAGCTCTGGAGGCCACCTTCGGGCCGCGGGCCTCTGTGAGGCAGCACCAGGGACACGGGGTCCGGGAGGCCACCGGGGCTGGACCGTGGGGGCTGGCGGGGTCCTGTGGGGGCGGGACCTGGGAAGAGCATGCTGCCCGGTTCCCCTCAGCCTCGGCGGGAACCACTTTTTCCTGTCACACCTCCTCAGCCACCTGCGGTCCCCAGAACCTGGCCGCAACACAAGGAGCCTCAAGACACCTACCGGGTTGTTGCTGGTCTTCCCCGCTAGGATGACACGGGCCTTGACCTTGTTCATGTGGAAGTTCTTCAAGTAGGCTTCATAGATCCGCCGGGCCAGGGACCTGAGGTCTGCACTGCCGGGGCCCTCGTCCTCCTGCTCACACGTGAGGATCTCAGCTTTCAGCTTCGCCTTCTCTGATCGCGGCATGCGGCCGAAGCGAATCGCTGGGGATCGAGGAAGCATGGTGGTGAGAAGGCGACGGGAGGAAAGGCTGGGTGGTGTGCAGGGCACGGCTGGACCCACGCTCCTGGAGAGCCCACGGGGAGACCAGAGCACAGTTCCAGTCCCACAGGTGTGGCAGGGCAACAGCCTCAACCCTCCCCCAAGCAGGGACAGGCCCTTAGGGTTTGAGCTTTAGCGCCAGTTTCTCCAACACCTTGTTCTTGTTCTGAATTCCATTCCTGCTTTTGTCTCAGGGGAGTAACTGGCAGGATCTAAGGTGAGCTTGTGATTGAGTAAAGCAAAGCATGGCCAGGGCCAGGCGGTCCCCGGGCATCGCCGGTGAGCCTGCTCCAGCACTCTGGAAGGCCTGGCCTTTGCCACTCCTGGCAGCACTGCCAAGTGCCCGGCTGCTCCCGGCCGTTCGACCTTTGATTTTCTCAGGTCATTCTTACAACACGAGCCTGGCGTGAAGCGTTCTTCATAGCACAGTCTGCCTCCACGTTTCAGGGAGGCAGCGAAGCAGCTGGGAGGCTGCAGGCTCACCTACCGTTGTGTGACATGCCCACAGCCAGGCACTTGTGGAAGCGGCAGTATTGGCACTTGTTACGATTCTTCTTGACAATCTTGCAGCTGCGGTCGCATTTGTCATATGCCAGCTTCAGCCGGATCGTCCGGCGGAAGAAGCCCTGTGGGACAAAAGCTGGGCTTGTTAAGGGGCCTGCCTCACCACGCGGGAGCTGCCTTGCTCACCGCTCTTGTTCCTTAGGAACTAAATTTACGGAAGTGTTTCTTCTAGAAGGTCTGACGTAATTACGACAAACGGAAAAGTTTCAATTCCATTGCACTCACTCAAAACTTCAAAGCCATTTCTGCATGTCCTCGCCTCCCTGGGAGGACAGCTGGGGTTTTCCAGTATCCTGTCCTTTCGGAGGGCACACCCAAGTCTGCCACACAAAACTTTCTCCGAATTGTCGTAGGAGAACATTAACTCCTTAAAAGACAAATCTATCATCCAAGGAAACCAGCTATCGGAAAATCATTTCCTGGCTTAATGCAAGCCCAGCATGGGTCCAGGTGGCAGCTTCTGGACCTCGACAGTGAGCACCTGGCCTGGGCGTAGGGCTGTGGCAGAGCTGGCCCCAGGACGCACGTGTTTGCAGGCTGTAGGGGAGGGGAGAGTGCCGGAGGCTCAGGAGCAGCAGAGGAGCCCACCCTGGGTCCCAGGGGACCCTGGACAAGACACCCAACCCCTTAGGTCCAGGCCCTGGACTGAGAGAAGAGCTGGCCTTGCTGAGGGAAATGCCCTCAAGCTCGTGCTCACATGAAGGCAGGCTCCCAGCGTGCCTCATCTGAAGAGCCCCTTCTCTGAGCCCCTTGCAGAGCACGGTGCAACAGCCTGTTCCAGCCATCTGAGCACACTCGCCGGCCGCGTGCAGCAGTCTCCCACCTTCTGTAAAGGCCGTCTGTGGGTGGTAAAGGTCACCCCACGAGCTGTGGGGCAGGCCCCCCACCCCACCAGACTCCCTGTACCTTGCAGCCTTCACACGCGTGGACGCCATAGTGGTAGCCTGAGGCCTTGTCCCCGCAGATCCTGCATTCAATGTTGAGGGCTCCGCTGGGATACTCGTCCACACCTCCAGGAACCACAGGACAAGTGACGGATGAAGGGCTGGCTGCGGGAGACAGGCTGTCTACAGGAACAGGAGACCTCCGTGAGTCAACCAGGGCCACCACAGTGTCGAAGCCCACGCTCTAAGCATAGGAGCGTCGGCGCCTGTCACATCGCACACGCTGCAAAGAGGGGCCTGGCCCGAGTCAGCCCCGGGCCCACGTCACGCCCCACTTGGACACTGCGGAGAGGGGCCTGGCCCGAGTCAGCCCCGGGCCCACGTCACGCCCCACGGTTCCATGCCTTCCGCCACGCTGGCCTCCCTGAAGCCCCTGCTCTGTGTTGTACCTGCAGCTGGTTCTGGGCTCGCACACCCACTGCCTGCGGACACTGCTCCCAAGGCCTGCACAGGACGTACTGCGCATTGCTTCCTCCCTTCCAGTCATTCTTTATTTGCTACCTTGGTAAATGGTCCCAGAATACAATAAAAGCAAAAACAAAAATGTGTTGGCCACAGTCAAAGCTCAATCCAGGAGAGGAAGGAATAAACTGGAATTCATAAGAAATGAAATCTTCTGCCAAGGAAATGAAGGTAGGCCTCAGATGGGGAGACAATATTTCCATATATTTCCATCTATAATCAAAGACTTGTATCCAAAATACACAATGAAGCCTTAAAACTCAGTAACAAGAAAATAAACAACTGAGTTTAAAAGTGGCCAAGGGCCTGGCACGGTAGCCTCGCAGTTAAAGTCCTTGCCTTGCATGTGCTGGGATCCCATATGGGAATTGATTTGTGTCCCAGCAGCTCCACTTCCCATCCAGCTCCCTGCTTGTGGCCTGGGAGAGCAGTCAAGGATGGCCCAAAGCCTTGGTTGCCTGCACCCATGTGGGAGACCCTGAAGAAGCTCTTGGTTCCTGGCTTCTGATCAGTTAAGCTCCAGCAATTACAACCACTTGGGGAGTGAACCAGTGGGTGGATAGAATATCTTTCTCTCCTTCCCAAACTGCCATCACACATGCGGCAGGAGTGTGCCATCACAGGAGCTTCAGGCTGGTGAGGATGGGTGGCAGAACAGGCTGGCAGCTTGCCCCGAAGGCCAGCAGCCTACTGAGAGCCATGCTCCCAGCCAGCTACCCCGCCGACCCCTCAAACGTACATGTTTATGGCAGCTTTGACAGCACTACCCCGATCCTCAGGCCACCGACACAGCCCTTCCCTGTGAGTGAGTGAGCAAACCCTGGTAGGTCAGAGGTGAACATCACTCGGTTCAGCAGGGACGCGCCATCCGGGCACGGGGAGACGTGCCCGTGTTCAGTGAAGGCCACAGTGCCTGCAAGGCCGAACCCACGGCGTTCTGGGAAGCGCAGGCAGGTCGGGCTGCGCAAAAGTGTGTTCACTTGAAAACATGACACTGCATCTCTAAGACCCATGAACAGTTCAGAGTGACCCTCACTGTGTGCAGATAAACAATTTAGGAACTTGCCAGATCCCAGGGTGGAGTGCAGAATGCGCTGCACCCACACGCGGGAGCCCAGGGGCTGACACTGGAGTGCCGCAAGCTAAGCCATTGTCTGTGACACAAATCAAAGCGCTTGCCCCCACAGATTCCAGCGGGGCAAGTCTCGGCCACTCTGCTTCGGGTCCAGCTTCCTGCTGACGTGCCTGGGAAGGCTGCGGGAGACTGGGATGGGACTTGTGCTTCCCGACTTGAGGCTGGCCCAGCCCTGCCTGTTGCAGCTATTTGGGGGAGTGAATCAGCAGACGGACGATCTCTCTGTCTCTCTCTCTCTCTGTGTGAAATTTGTTTCAAATAGGTAAACAAATAAATTGTTCTCTTAAACGTAGGGCACAACTTCACTGAACGAGGCGGGAGGGGAGTGAGCGGCGTTTGCAGGGCTCCAGGCAGAATGACCTGCCCAGCAACGTGCTTGGCGGTGCTGTTCCCTGTGGGGACGGGAACTACTTTCCTGGTGTAAGGACACGCGGGTGTGGGACGAGGAAGTTAGAACAAGAGGGTCTGAGTGATTTCCGCGGTGGTGCGACGGAGGCAGATGCCAGCACGAGCTGTGTGGGGCTGACTCAGGTGCAGCTGGAAATAGTAATTGCGCGCGCGCGCGCGTGTGTGTGTGTGTGTGTGTGTGTGTGTGTGTGTGTGTCCTACGTAGCTATGCCTTGGCTGTCAGCTAACAGAAGTGACTCCCCGATGCAAACTGACCCGATGGGAGTCCACAAGCCGGGGCTCCTGGGGACCGGCCAGACTCCTGCTAGCTCTCCTCACAATGGAGAATTCCAGAGGTCACAGAGCTGCGGCAAAGCGCCCAGAGGCTTTGCTTAGCTGCAAGGTACAGAGCCATGGCCCTTCCACCAACACTGAAAAGTCCACACACTGTCCCAGGAACTCAATGCAGCCCTTGAACAAGTCAGGCTTATCAGAGGAACACCCACCACCCAGAAAGGGTCACAGTGTGTGGCATCCACTAATAATAAAGTTACAGGACACACCAAGAATCAGAAGAGGAGAGAAGTGGACTTCAAGGGACCCAGACATTGTACAAATGATAGCATTTGTAGCTAAGGCATTTTATAGTTTTTATATTCATTTATTTATTTCAAAGACAGAGAATCTTCTATCTACCTGTTCATTCTCCAAGTGGCCATGATACGTGGGGCCGAGCCTGGAGCTCGGAGGTCCACCCAGGTCTCCCTGTGGGTGGCAGGGTGTGGGTCCACCAGGTCTCCCTGTGGGTGGCAGGGGCTGGGGCACCTGCGCTACCCTCTGCTGCCTCACACTGCTTTATCAGGACGCTAGATCAGAAGCAGCCTCAAGTTCGTGCTTTCACACAGGATGTCACAGGCGTTGGCTTAGCCCCGGACCTGAGGGCCCACCCTAGTCAAGTGTAACTTACAATGTTATTCTGACCAATTTCCAAATGGTCAAGGAGCTAAACCAAAGGGAGACACAGCATGGAAGAAGAACCGATTGCTCCTAGTCCTGAAAACTACAATATCTGACGTCATTGGGGACAGAACAGATGTTAGAAAACGTGAATTAATGAACTGGCGGCACAGCCACAGGAACCACCGAGAATGGAACACACGGAGAGAGGGCTGGCAAAGCGAACTCGCCAGCCCCGAGGCTGCTTACATATCATATGTAGGGTCTCTAAAGCAGAGGGTGACGGAGCACAAGGAAAATACACAGGAAATAACGACTCAAATTGGACAAAAGCAGTAAGTGAGCAGATCCCGGAAGCTCAGTGAAACATAAGAAGCATGAAAAAAAAAAAATTCAACAAGGCACAACTGCAACCAAATTGGTTAAAACTGGCGCTGACGGCAACACTGAGGAGAGCAGAGAGAACAGGCCGGTGCCTGAGGCCGCCGGCAGGGAAGGACCCTAGGCTCCGTGGGGAAGAGCATGGGGCTTTCTAGAAAGTCTGAGGCAGAATTACCACGTGATCCAGCACCTGTGCCTCTGGATAGCTATTCAAAGGAACTGGGATCTGGGTAACGCAGAACTATTATCCACAGCCTGTTCATGGAACCAACCTCAATGTCCACCAATGAATAGCTGAATACAGAGAATGGGGTGTGATGCACAGCGGGCCCAACTCAGCCTTCCAAGAGAAGGAAACTGTCATTTGTGAAGTGCAGCCAAGTCTGCAAGAGTTACGCTGAGTACAGTCAAGTCAGGTGTCTGGAACGCCCCAAGGCACAGCACCTAGGTTCAATTCCCAGCTCCTGACTACAGCTTTCTGTTGCTGCAAATCCTGAGGGGGCAGTGGTCATGGCTCAAGTGCTTGGGTTCCTGCCGTCACATGGGAGGCCTAGACACCCAGCTTAGGCTGACTCAAGGCCTGGCCGTTACAGACACCTGGGAGTGATCCAATGAGTAAGAGCTCAACAGGGAACTTTCTAAAATGAAGCACAGAAAAATAAATGCTACATAATCTCACTTATCTATGAAATCTAGAGTTAAGTAGAGAGTGGAATGGTGGCCACAGGGGGGTGGGGGGAAGTTGGCAGAGTGGAATGGGGACCACAGGGTGTTGGGGGGAAGTTGGCAGAATGGAATGGGGCCACAGAGGGTGGGGAGAAGTTGGCAGAGTGGAATTGGGGGCCACAGGGGGTGGGGAGAAGTTGGTCAAAGGGTGCCCAGTTTCTGGAGACAAAAGGAGCATTTTGAGATCTGTGACAGAGCAGGTAACCACGATATATTGCACATTTCAAAAGTACTAAAAGAGTAGGTCTTGAATGTTCTCATCATACACACACAAAAAAATGGTTAATACGCAAGACAATGAATGTGTTTACTGGCTTGATAAATCCATTCTACCATACATACATGTATGAGGGGACCTCACATTTCATCCCATGTTGGAGTGTTGGTTCAAGTCACAGTTCTCTACTTCCAATCCAGCTTCCTGCTGACACACCCTGGGAGGCAGCAGCCGATGGCGTAAGCACTTGGGTCGCCACCACCCATGCGGGAGACCTGGTTTCCGGCTTGAGCCTGGCCCAGTCCTAGCTGCTGTGGTCATTTGGGAAGTGAATCAGAGGATGGAAGAGCATTTGTCCATCTGCTTCTGTCTCCTTTAGACTTCAAGTAGATGAAAACAAACAATTTAAAACTTTTCTATTAATGTAAGAGAAGGCAAAAAGAAAGGAAAAAGAACAAAGACCAAACACATGGGCTGAACAAACTGGGGAGGCAGAATTGCTGCAACAGTGGGTTAAGCCGCTGCCTGTGACACTGGCACCCCATATGAGAGCCAGTTCAGATCCTAGCTACTCTACTTCCGATCCGGTTTCCTATTTGTGAGCACGCCTGTAAGCAACAAAAGAGAGACCAGGTGGAGCTCCAGGCCCGGGCTTCAGCCTGGCCCGGCCCCAACTGTGAACCATTTGGGGAATGAACTAGCAATGGAAGACGTCTCCTCTCTGTATGTAACTCTGCCTTTTCCCCTCAAAACTGCAGCTGAACAAATTAGGTAATTACAACAGTAAGTAGAATGCAGCCAAGCGCCCCGACTGGGTTCCAAGCACCACGTGACCTGGGAACAGTGTCAAGGGGGGGTGAGGGGCTGAGGATGAGAGCCCAAGGTGCTCCCAGGTCCCAGGGCCCCAGGCCCAGCTCTGATGCTTTATCCTGTCTGAAAGCTCCTTAGCAAAGATGTGTGCTGTCTCAGCTGGCTAAAGGGACACGGGTTTCCAAGGAAGGCCACACAAAAGCAGGATTCCCAGGACACTCACCTGTGATCACGGAGCCATCCGATACAGAGCCGCTTCCCAGACACTGGTATTCTGGAAAAGTGAAGCTTCCGGAGCTGTCCTCACCGATAGATTGTGAAATCTCATGGATATTCCCCATTTCCTGGAGGAATTCTTCAGATAACGGGCTTTCCAGGTCGTCAGCATCGAGGCTGGAGAGAGTGCACAGTGGGCTTCCTGTGTCCACCATCCTGACCGGAAGGGGCCGGCAGACCTCTGAGCGCCAGCCTACTGGGGGGACAGAGAAGCTTCGATGAGATGGACACACGTGGCTGTGTGAGTGTGCCCAAGTGGGCAGGTATGTCCACCTGAACCGGCAGTCTAAACAGCACCACTGCTGGCTGCAGGTTCCAGGTTAGACCCTTGATAAGTGTCCTAAGACGAGGCGTTCAACAGCGTGTGGGAGGACCAAGGCTCCCCACTCCCCCGCGGGGTGGATGCACACGCGACAAGCTCAGTGCCTGCAGTACAGGGCATGGCGAGCAGAGGGGACAGACTGCCCTTCCTCTCATGGAGTGTCCCTCTGACGAGGACACAGGCAGAGAGCAGAAGACCAAGACAACGTGGACTACCTGGTGTGGCCCCAACAGTGCAGCAAAGAGGGGTGCCACTGTGCCCGGGGAGGGGAGGTCAGGACTGTGTCACCCGTCAGGGTACAGCAGCTTCCGGGAGGAACCTGTGTGTCCCAACAGTTGCAAGAAGAGCAAGGGCAAAGGTGCCAGGACTGGGCACCCCGGCCCACTCCAGCGGGAGCCGGGAGCCAGCCCGGCCTGGGCCAGGCGGCCTAGGGGAGGAGGACCGAGTCAGCCAGCACGTACGAGGAATGCAACATTTCTTCATAACGTGGAGGTCACTCATGTGGGCGAGATTTACACACATCTTCCTAGGTAGCCCTGACAGAGCCTGGATGGGCCAGTGTGGTGGTTGCAGACAACGGACTACTGCAATGCCAGCCTTTCCAGCCAGCGAACAAGGGAACATTCTGCCCACAGAGTGGAGACCTGACCATGCTCTTCCCATGTTGCTTTGTACCACACTCTTGCCCAAGCATGTTTTTTTCTAAACAATGATCAATGTGCGTCCGGCACGACAGCCTAGTGGTTAAAGCCCTCACCTTGCACACGCCGGGATCCCATAGGGTCACCAGTTCTAATCCCAGCAGCTCCACTTCCCATCCAGATCCCTGCTTGTGACTTGAGAAAGCAGTTGAGGACGGCTCAAGGCCTTGGGATCCTGCACCTGCGTGGGAGACCTGGAAGGGTCTCCTGGGTACTGGCTTCGGATTGGCTCAGTTCCAGCCTTTGTGCTCACTTGGGCAGTGAATCAACGACGGAAGATCTTCCTCTCCGTCTCTCCTCCTCTCTGTATATCTGCCTTTACAATAAAAATAAATAAATCTTTAAAAGAAAGATCACTCTGAAAGGCAGGGGGCGTGGAGGGACACAGATCTTCTGTCACTGGCTCACTCCTCACATGCCCACGAGAGCCGGGCCGGGCTGAACCAGGACTCAGCACTCCGCTCTGTCTCTCAGACATGCCCACGAGAGCTGGCCCGGGCTGAACCAGGACTCAGCACTCCGCTCTGTCTCTCAGACATGCCCACGAGAGCCGGGCCGGGCTGAACCAGGACTCAGCACTCCGCTCTGTCTCTCAGACATGCCCACGAGAGCCAGGCCGGGCTGAACCAGGACTCAGCACTCCGCTCTGTCTCTCAGATATGCCCTTGAGAGCCGGGACTCAGGCCACCATGCAGGCATCCCAAGTGGTGGCTTCACTCAGAACACTGCAGCACCTGAACTTGCCCAGACATTTTAAGCCACCCCCACGACCCCAGACAAGGCCTTCTTTCTTAACACCTGACCCTGGTCCTTAGGAATGTGCCCCTCCTACCCCATGGGTGGTGGCACGAGGTCACTGCTTCCCTCTCACCGCTACACCTGTGCCCAGGTGCACCATTTGAGATGCCCTCCCATGGCTGCCTTTTTCAGGCCCCACTCCTCATCCATCTCCCTGGGCCCGGCTAAGCCACCAGACACCCACCAATGCCAACCAGGTGACATGCAGCTTCTGGAACTGTTTTCCCATGTGCAAATGGTCACTGCAAAGCCCACCAATCACAAGCAAGATCCCAGGAGACATGCCACCCCAGCTGTGGGATCACACAGCAGCCCTGAGCACACTGCAGGTCCCAGGAGGCGTGCCACCCCAGCTGTGGGATCACACAGCAGCCCTGGGCACACTGCAGGTCCCAGGAGGCGTGCCACCCCAGCTGTGGGATCACACAACAGCCCTGGTACACTGCAGGTCCCAGGAGACGTACCACCCCAGCTGTGGGATCACACAGCAGCCCTGGGCACACTGCAGGTCCCAGGAGGTGTGCCACCCCAGCTGTGGGATCACACAGCAGCCCTGAGCACACTGCAGGTCCCAGGAGACGTACCACCCCAGCTGTGGGATCACACAGCAGCCCTGGGCACACTGCAGGTCCCAGGAGGCGTGCCACCCCAGCTGTGGGATCACACAGCAGCCCTGAGCACACTGCAGGTCCCAGGAGGCGTGCCACCCCAGCTGTGGGATCACACAGCAGCCCTGGGCACACTGCAGGTCCCAGGAGGCGTGCCACCCCAGCTGTGGGATCACACAGCAGCCCTTGGCACACTGCAGGTCCCAGGAGACGTACCACCCCAGCTGTGGGATCACACAGCAGCCCTGGGCACACTGCAGGTCCCAGGAGGCGTGCCACCCCAGCTGTGGGATCACACAGCAGCCCTGGGCACACTGCAGGTCCCAGGAGGCGTGCCACCCCAGCTGTGGGATCACACAACAGCCCTGGTACACTGCAGGTCCCAGGAGACGTACCACCCCAGCTGTGGGATCACACAGCAGCCCTTGGCACACTGCAGGTCCCAGGAGGCGTGCCACCCCAGCTGTGGGATCACAAGCAGCCCTTGGCACGCTGCAGGTCCCAGGAGGCGTGCCACCCCAGCTGTGGGATCACACAGCAGCCCTGGGCACACTGCAGGTCCCAGGAGGCGTGCCACCCCAGCTGTGGGATCACACAACAGCCCTGGTACACTGCAGGTCCCAGGAGACGTACCACCCCAGCTGTGGGATCACACAGCAGCCCTTGGCACACTGCAGGTCCCAGGAGGCGTGCCACCCCAGCTGTGGGATCACAAGCAGCCCTTGGCACGCTGCAGGTCCCAGGAGGCGTGCCACCCCAGCTGTGGGATCACACAGCAGCCCTGGGCACACTGCAGGTCCCAGGAGGCGTGCCACCCCAGCTGTGGGATCACACAGCAGCCCTTGGCACACTGCAGGTCCCAGGAGGCGTACCACCCCAGCTGTGGGATCACACAGCAGCCCTGGGCACACTGCAGGTCCCAGGAGGCATGCCACCCCAGCCCTTGGATGACACAGCAGCCCTTGGTACACTGCAGGTCCCAGGAGGCGTGCCACCCCTAGCTGTGAAATAACACAGCAGCCCTTGGCACACTGCAGGGTCCCAGGAGGTGCGTGCCACCCCTAGCCGCAATATCACACAGCATCCCTGGTACACTGCAGGTCCCAGGAGGCGTGCCACCCCCAAACGCAATATCACACAGCATCCCTGGTACACTGCAGGTCCCAGGAGGCGTGCTATCCCCAGCCGTGGGATCACGTAGCAGCCCTTGGTACACTGCAGGTCCCAGGAGGCGCATGCCACACCCAGCCATGATATCACACAGCAGCCCTTGGCACACTGCAGGCTCCCAGCAGGCGTGCCATCCCCAGCTGTGGGATGACGCAGCAGCCCTTGGCACACTGTACCCAGAGGAGTCCAGGCTCTTGTGGAGTTGTTTTCTGAAGCACAAGCCGGCTCTTGGATCCCTGTACGAAACCGTTTTCCCCTGTCAGGCCTGCTCGCTGTACAGAGCAGCTCTAAGTACCGACTGCTGAGACATCTGAGGTTGGCAGCAACCCCGGGGATGGGAATGACAACGGGTCCCCACTCAGGCATCTGGAAATGTCTCAGCCAAGCAGTGGCGCTTCTCCCGTCCCTTCCCTCTGCTGTGTGTCTCCGGCAGAGGTCTGCAGCAACCAAGGTGCTGCGGTAAATAGCACCTCAGATGGTTTTCGGAGGGAACTTTTGGTTTGAAATCACAGACACCGCGTCACTATGTTAACCATTATGGTAAGCTTCCAAAACAGAGAAGCGAGGGGCTGGGTGGGCCAGTGGCTGCCCCTTCCACCCCACGCGCCACGTTGAGTGCGAACGTTCCTTCCTCCAGCCGACATCGCACCGATGTGGCAGTGTCGCTCTCCCTGGCGTGACACACCCAGGATACTATGACTGTGCTTGCCAGTTACCTCAAGGGTCCTAGATATTTGCTTAGAGGCACACTGTTGCCACCAGTGGCAAAGCAGCTGGCTGGACAAAGCCCCTCTGGAGGGCGAGACCTCCCAGCGCTGACCTCTGGCTGTGCCTGGCGGCACGAACACCGCGGTCCTCCTTGTGTCCAATGAGACAGATAAAGAGCATCCTGCCCTTGGAGAGACCCCCGAGAGACAGCAGAGGTCGTGGGCACACTGGCCATCTGCCCTGCACTTCCCAGCATGCTCAGTCACCTGTGGCTTCAGACCAGGAAGTCCCCACTGCCCTAACACCTACGCAAGCCGCTGGGCCCGGCCTGCCTGCTGCGGTGCTCCCTGCCCCAACGCTCTGCAGGGATGCAGCACTGCAGCTGAGTGCTCCCCGCAACTCCCATGTGGTGCAGACTCAAGGAGCGATGCAAACAGACACATCAGACACACAGGCTCCCAGGACGCAGGCAGACCACTCAGGTCCCAGGAGGCGCATGCCACCCCCAGCCATGATATCACACAGCAGCCCTTGGTACACTGCAGGGTAGCCATGGCAGGGGCCAACCTCAGCATCCGTGGACAGGTACCCAGGTGGGGTTAATGCCACAAAGCAGAATGGGGTCCAGATATCTGCAGCCAAATGGGCAGAACTGAGAACCCTCCCATGCAGTGAAATACGCCAGGCACAGGAAGACGGGCGGCACAATCTCTCCCAGGTGGGAGTAGTCAGGAGCACGCTCAGCCTGAACTTGGGGCGCAGGTTCCTAGGGGGTGGCAGGGACAGAGGCAGGCTGGGCGGTGAGCACCAGCACCATCAGGGGTCTCGAGTCCCCAGCATGGGGCCGCTGCAGCTCCCGGCTACGCCCTAACTTCTGTACAAAGAACTG